CACTGAGGACAAGGCCAGAATGTGAGTGGCCAATTTGAGATCTGCACTATAACCCTGTAGGAGATGTCTACACTGAGAACAAGTCTGGCTTGTCCTGGGCTATTTCAAAACTGAGAACTTCTAATTTAAAAATGGATTTAACTATGCCTAAAATATGATGAATTTATTTTCATTATTAAAAACCAATGCATAGTCCAATAAAGACTTTTGGTTTTGAAATGATGTCACTTCCATGTTTGAGACCTAATTTTGGAAATACAATTTAGATGTACAAATGTAGGAATTTCTTTTTCTTTTTTTCTGTTTTAGAAAGATACTTTTGCTATAGAGTGTGTGTGCTGCCAGAGAGACAGAGAAAGGCAGAGAGAAAGTGAGAAATCACTCCTTGGAGAGGGTAACCACACCACAATCCCTTCTCCTCCATTTCCCTCTCGGGATTTTGGGCATGCACGCACATGCGCCCGGTGTGAGTTTCAAGCCACCGAATTGCGGTGGACTATGTGGGAGTTCAGCAACTTAACCATTACATCATCTACTGGTCTCCAAATATAGGAATGTCTGAAACATTTCAATGCTTTACAGAAAAAGTAGAAAAGAATGTTTTGCATTAGAAAATGCTTAAAATTGGGCCAGCCCAGTAGTACAGTAGTTAGTGCTGTGTATTGAGAGCTGGATCCCACATGGCTAACCATGGTTTGAGTCCTGGTCCTGGTGGCTTGAAAAACACAGTAGGAGCTGGCAAATACCAAAATCATGACAAGATGGAGAAATGGAGGAAAAAGGATTGTGTCATGACCATGCCCCATTGGAGGGTGCTTTCTTTCTCTCCCTCTATCTGATAAGTGAATGTGCCCTTTGGCAATAAAGAAGGGGGTGGAGGAAGAAAAGGAAAGGAAAATTCTTTCCATTAAAGGTGAACTGTTATGGCATATGCCTGTAGTCCCAGAGACTTGGTGGCTGACGCAGGAGGATCACGAGCTCAAGGTTTGCCAGGGCAATATGGTGAGACCCTGCCTGAAAAAGACCTGGGCCTGGTGACTCATGCCTGCAGTCCTAGATGGGAAGCTGAGACAGGAGGATCGCAATGCAATGAGATCCTGTAAGTAAGTAAGTAAGTAAGTAAGTAAGTAAATAATAGAAAAGGCTCGAAAGTCAGAAATATGGCCAAATTTCTGTCAATGTAAGAATTGATGACCTTCTCTCATTTGAAATTATGGTCTATAATTTGCGAGAAACTACCGTAGTCAAACTGCGCACTGTATCTTTCTCTTTATAACTAAATGTTCCTTCAATTATAAGTAGCTAATGTTTTTTAGGTCATTAAATCACAGTCTCACTTGATGATAAAACTCCAATAGAACAGATAATATTAGTAAGTCCATTTTAGAGATGAGAGATTGAGACACAATTACAAATAAGCTTCAGAGATAGTCTCCGAGGGGAAATGACATGCTGCCTCAGTGGCGTGAAGCCTATGGGCAGGTAGTGGAGGTGTTTAGAAAATAGCTGAAGAAAGGGGAGTAAGAGGAAAGGGAGAAAAGGGAAGAAAAATAGAGAGAGAGAGAAAGAGGGAAGGAAAAAGATGAGTTGGAAGCAGACCAGTAGCCCAAGTCCAAAACCAAGTTCTAAGCTGAGCCATCAGCCATAGTGTGAAGCGTCTGTTGGGGGTCACGGAGCAGAGCATGAACCTGCAGACACAGAAGCTAGTGGCAACGGCGAAGGAGGGGCTCTGAGTGCATGTGGCCATGCACCATCAGGGTAGTGAAGACTTAGACCCAGGCAAACTGCCCTGGTCACTAAGTATGTTTTTTGTTTGTTTGTTTGTTTGTTTGTTTTTTGTTTTTTGTTTTTGTGTGTGTGTGTGTGTGTGTGTTTTGTCTCTCTAAGGGCAACCACCTTCTTTATGCTATTGCTGTCATCACCCAGGCCCCTGTAGAACCAACTGCCAGACAGGTGCTA